ATCTCATAATAAACAAAATTTAATCTCCCAATTGTTCTCATATACACTGTGCTGTTTAATGCTTTTGCATATTGTTTTTAAATCGATTGTGCATAGACAGCATTCCACTGAAAAGGTGTCAGAATATTTACATTAGTAATCGTTTCAACAGTGTCAATGCCTAATGCAGCTAATACTTTGTCGAGGCTTTTTAAACAACTGGGTTCATTTCACCCAAGCCTTTATCAGGACACTGCAATGTAAAGTTGACCTAACATGATAAGGTGCAGATTTTACACAACCTTTCTTTTTACACTGCTATTGACTTCAGGCTAACTTTTAGGGTAAGTGCACTTCCCAGAAGTGAGTGTTTTATTTGTTCATTCAATAATAAGAATTATAAAATGACAGTGCAGTATTTTCTGGTGGGAGTAGGGAATTAGGTATAATATATGTATCACTAAGTGTTTCTCATTGCAAAATTGCGTCTTTTTTTTTAAAGAATGTCAGCTTCTGAATCAGTCAATGAAAAGGATGGGCATTTTCCCAAGCGTTTTGGTAAATCTTGGACTCATAACACACTCCTTTAAAAAGAAGCCTCATGCTGGCTGCCTTGGAACCATTGCCGTATCATTTTCACAATCATGCATGCTTTAAAAATATCAGGTCTCCTTCAAAGAGAGGGGCTAGGTTTGAAACTTCACAGTATCAGTCAGAAAGTTTGTTAGTTTTATTTTCCACCTCTGAGATGTTGGCCTGGTTTGGTCCCTTGATTTATTATGCCTCTGGTAGAAGTAAGGTCGTTCTATTTTTGACACTTAGGAGGATTCTTAGAACTTTTAGGGTGAAATCTGCCAGAAAAAAGGAACCAAGATGAGATTTATGATAAGGAAAAACCAGTTTGAATTAGTTGGTTCATTTCCTTTGCTGCACTCTTAAAAACAAGCTTGATTAAAATGGCATTGTACTTAGTATAATTAAGTTTTTTGTACCTAGAGATAAATAGGTATTGTTGACACTGGAAACATTTAATGTAGAATGGTGTTTGACTGCAGTCACAGCTGCTTGGATTATAAAGGAGTGTTTGATAAGATTTTATGGGATGCTCATGTAATTTCTGATAAAGTTTGATTTAGGTCAGTGTTTGCTGTGCAAAGCAGACATTGTGTGCACAAGTTGATGGAGAATGACAGCCCACAACAAGAAACTGTTCAGAAATCCTCATGCCACAAGGTGCCAGGCTCTGTGGTTGTCTAGACTCAACATGTAAATTTTTTAATTCGCTGAAGGTCTTTTTGTAGAATCTTTTAGTTGGCATTTATTTTGTTCAACCAAAGGGTAAAATACCAATAACTGAGTACAATTTCTGGATAAGAAGAAGCCAAAGCTCTCAACAAATCTAGCAGTATTTTTGATTTTTTTGTGGACCATGGTAACTGACAATAATATAGGACCAGTGATTACTGTGTGTTCGTTTGTCAGTTTCCTCTGATTATTCCACAGACCATCATCAGGTGTTTCGCAAATGTTAAATCCAGTGATACACTGAATTTGTGACAGAAAAAAATAACTGTTTATGACAGAAAAAAATAACAGTGACAATGAGTGCAAGATTTGAATATTGCATGGCTGTGCATTTTGTGATAGAGATATGTGGGTCAAACTGTATCAATCCCAGTAAACTGGGGTGAACTCCCAGTGTGCTTTATCATCAGAACAACTGATTTAACGGGGACCTGGCTCTGTTTATCATCGGAGGGTGAGTAGAGATAATTAGGAGGCAATGATTCCCCCCATTTATTGACAGTCAGCAGTGGGACAGGGTGTTGTATTGGTTGTAGCGGGATTCTGACTGTCCAGTAGCTGTCCTGCTGAGATAAGGAGTTGTTAGATTTAACAGTGTGGGGTAATTAATCAGTGAACACCAGTGGTCTGATAGTCACTGTGGGTGGCTGATGTACTGTACACTTATCTGACGGACACTGCCACAAATTCTTGTTCTTCTGTCCGGGTTACACAGGTGGTATTGGCCAAGAATCAGGGTAAGGCACTTGTTTGTTTTAGAATGCACACAAAGATGAATTATTATAGGAGGAGAGCATGGTATTGTTCTTTGATTAAGAATGAGCAGTTTGAATCTTCTTCCACTTGCTTTTTGATGCATAAAGGTTAGTTTCTACTGGTACTGATTTCTAAGCATTTATAGGGTGTGATTTGGTTGTTACCATTAAAGTTTAAGAATTTTCCCATGAAAATACCAATGACAGGAGTTAGATGGAATATCTCCCGTATGTTCTGAGATTATGCAGGCAGTATTACAGCTGGGGGGTCAAGCTTTCATGGATGACAGATAAACTTGTCTGTGGTGCAGGAAATGTTCTCTTCAGTCCTGTTTAATTGAATCCAAGAGATGAAATTGTACATCATTGATTTCCCTTAGTAAGGGTTAAGTGGTTTGAAAAAGATCTAAGTTTTGGAGCTATCTAATTTTTTTTTATATCTGAAATTTAAAACATGCTGGTGGATGAAAGATCTTAGATAAGACACAGGGACTTGGAGCAAATGTTTCATCCTTGTTTATTGTATCTGTAAGGAATGATGTACAATTTTCAGGTTACATTAATTTCCTGAGATTCACTCAGGACCTCTGGTGATTGGTGTCTTTGAAGATCCTTAGATTGGGAGATTATCACTTGAGAGAAATAAATATTGGCAGATTATGAGTGTTTTATGAGGCATATTGCAGAAAAAAATCCCCTTCATATTCACCACATCCCCTGTAGGTCTGCAGATGGAAAGAATGTTTAATATCTACACAATAAGTTTTATTTCTGAGATAAAATGGGTTTTAGGAAACCTCAATATGAATAAAGATTTATAAGGACCTCTTTCAATCCAATTTAAAAAAAAATTACCCTTCAGCATATAATTGTAATTTTCTATGGATTATTGACAAATTGAATCTTGTCTCCAATCATTCATTGTAATCAGGTTATAGTCATGTGTTTGTATTATATCTACAGAGGGAGTGGGCTGGGCGGGTCTCATCAATTTAGAGACTTATTCTAAAGTAATGCCTTAATTCTGTTAACAATACAGATTTATAGAAATGTGAATAAGCTAAAAAAAAAATCTTATAAACAAATATTACACAGCATTTCATTATTAGAAATTTAAAAGAATCTGGTGTCATCTTTGGATGGATTAAAAAGGGTGGAGCCATATCGTGATAAACTTGTGTGAGAAGTGATTTCTTAGTGATACATATGTAACAGTTTCAATAATGTACATGTTTTGTAAACTATAATGCGACAATATTGAACCTCCCCATAAAACCACACATGGTTACAGGAAGTGTTAAAACTGTTTTATCTGAAATTGCAAAGACGGGGGTGATATTTGTTAGGGTTGACATTCTCAACTACAAATAATATTGATTTTTGAGATCACATGTCCCATGTGTTTATCAGATGTTGCATCAGTAGATTAGATCTCTAATTCAAAAATCAAACATCAAAGTTCTTCATCAGGAAACAGGCCTATACCCCCTCAGGTAGCTGTTACATGCAGGTAATCTACAATTATACCTGTATGACTTGTCAACAAGGTAACAAACATCAGGTTTTCTGCCTCAGAGTTGTTACTTGTAATTTGCTTGAATTTGCAATTACACAATTTTACAGTTTGTATTTCAAGGAAATTAGATTCTTGTGGTGCATTCTTGTATGTCATAGACATTGATATGAAATACAAACAAGATTACTTTGAAGTGTTTCACAGATTATATCATATCAGATGATAGGTTTGTATTTTTATATCATTTAATCTTTGTGAATGCAGAGATAATCTTTGTGAATACAGAGTTGCCTACCTTGGTTTAGTAAGGGCTAGAGAGGACATTCTGGTCAAAGATCACAGTGTGTTCTGTTTGGTCAGTACACAGGAAACCCAGGGGTCAAGTAGCAATTTAGACAAGACTCACCTTTGTCTGTCAGGAGATGGCCAGTAGGCAGTAAATCTCTCGGGGGATCAGCAGGGTGCTAGGCCTGGCCTTGAGATCAATTTATTAAATATTTATAATCAGCATTTGTGAATCATTAGGCTGGGAAGTGCTGAGAGAGGCCCTTCACAATGGCATTTATATCATAGGTATTAGAGATATTTGATTCTACAAGAGAATTTGATGCGGCAGGGATATAGACTTGATGGTAGAGGGAGGATGTTGCTCTTGAAGGAGTGTTTCAGTACATAGATGTAATCAGAAATACAATTTTGACTTAAATTGGTGGAATTTGACTGTGGACTAACTGTCTCTTTGTTCTATGTAGTGGCTCCTATTTGTGTGTCCTTAAGGTGTTTGGTTTTCCCTCTGGGTGTTTGGATATTTCTACATCAGTAATACAGGTATGTGTGAATGTATGTATATCATTGGCTATATCAATGCCTTAATTTTTACCAGTAATATCTTTGTTTTGGAAACCCAGCGCTGAGGAAGAATGTCTCTATTTTGTCTATATAATGTCATGGTCAGATTGGATCATGGAGGTTAGCACTAAATAATATCATGACCAGAATTCCTTGACATTTGCATATTATAAAACTTGTGAACAGGGTCTAAGAAAAGCTTAAGAGCCTGGAGTTAAAGTTTTTGATGGTACTCCAAATTGATTTTGTGCAGAGGTTATATAAAGATGTCAGTTTTAAAAAGCTCAATGCGAATCACAAGACTTTCATAAGTCTGGAAATTTATGGACTGGAAAGTTGGAAATTAAGCCTGACCTGGCTGATCTCGAAGTGCACAGTTTAATAGTGCGAAAAGTAGTCTATTTTTCCAAGGAATAAGCTGACTTACGAACTTTTAAGTGTGGCTAGTTGTTGGTTTGTTTAAATATTTGTTTGTAAAATCTATTTGCTGTGTTTTCCCTTTAAAGAGAGTTAAATTTACTTTTAATCACTTGTTTATCCTTTTGTACGTGTTGACTCTTCTGTATACTTTATATATTCCTTATTTTGTTTTTTAGATATGAAGAATGGGGAATAAAGCCACCTCACCAAGGAAGGATTTTGATGGGGGAGAAGTAAGAGGAAGAAGTAGGTCCTTCACTGGAATAACCTCGAAATTTCGTAAACGCAGCAAAAGTCCTCCCCGAGAACGCAGTTCCTCATTCACAGACACCAGGCCCAAAAGAGGAAGTTTTAAATTTACTTCTCATAATGGAGGAGTTTCCACTCCTAATGGACACACGCCTGCAGGAAGCAACCCACGATCTAGTCCTACCAAAAGTATCTCTATCAAGTCTGGCAATAGATCTCAGGAAGAGGAAAATGACTCCTCTCGGCTACTGTCCACTTCTTGTCCAACTCGCTCTCGACATTTCCCTCCCCTTCTGGACCCCAGCTTGCCCAATGAGAGTAAGCAGAAGGATACCCTGGGTCGAGACACTATACGCAGATCTCTGACTCGCAAAGACAGCGAATCCCCAAGACTCGGTCCAAAACAGATGAGACAGATCTCGAGGGACCTGTATGCTGATAAGTTGGCAGACATCTCAAAGCGACGAGGACTGGCCGTCCAGAACCGAGACTTATCCATGTCTCAGTCTAGTCTAGGTCTCATGTCCTGTAAGTCGCAGTCTCTCCATAGCCTGGGTAATGTTGGTTTGGAGGAGGAGGAAGAAAATAAAAGTCCTGTGTATGGCAAGATAGTGCTTAGACAAAATAGACCAAGACACCTACATATGAACAGATACAGTGGTGATTTTGATCTCAGAGTAAGGACTAGTGATTTTAATAGTAAGCATAGTGCTGTAATGAGAAATGAAAGTCCCTCCCAACCACAACGCAGGGTATCCCAGCCTGTCACGTCATCATCAGACTCAAAGGTGCAGAAGAATACTCAGAGGTCCCCAGAGGAGGTGGTGCAGGCCCGCCGAATGTTGGTCTATCGAGCTCTGAAAACAGATGGTGAAGAACTTGGCCATACTGGCCCAGATCGTAAGTGTATACCTATTCTAGCTGACAGACGGTCAAACAAATCTGCTTCCTCACTACACAGATCTCCCTCACCTAAAAATAGCTTAACTCACTCATCACTATCACATAGCAACATCGCTTTGTCTCCAGGCAACCATTTTGTGTCACATAGCAACAGGTCATCAAGTCATTCATCAGTTAGTAATAGTGCTTTGTATCCATGTAACCGTCCTGCATCACCTAGCAACAGATCATCTGCAATTAACGAACTTTCAGAACTTTTGATTAACAGCAAAGATTGCACTGATTCATGGACTATGGAAAATGTAATATCTAAAACACCAGAAAAAAGTTCTGTTCATGTGACACCGCCTAAGGTCACGCCAAACAAACGAGCACTGCCAAATATTGATGAGTATAAAATTCTTAGTTCAGCTGTGCCCTCTAGTAGGGAACTATGGGGATCCTATGAAAGTTTGACAATGAAATCTAGGAAAAATATGGATATTTCTGAGGAGACTGGTTTAAGGGAACGCAGTCACAGTGTATCTTTAAATTCAAGACATGATTACACAAACGTGCACATATCTCCATTGGATATGGAGGAAGCAGGATTTCGTAGTCGGAGTAGTAGTTGGAGTGTGGCGAGGGATCGTATAAGGTCCCCCAGTACTATGGCCAGTCATACACAGGTGCCCCCTGTGAATCGATTGTGGAGTTATAGTGTGACCTCATTGTCTGACATGGGATTAGACCCAGTTACACCTTCCCAATATAGATACATTGAAACAAAGCATGAGGACTACTGTGGTAAGTCCTGGAAATTAAAACTTGTCTTGAGTAATAAACAAAGGTGTTTGTACATTTTTATATGCTTATTTTCAACATCGTTAGTTTTTATTTCTTTAATGAAAACTTTTATTTTGGTATACTGGACATAATTTTTGGGATTTCATTGGAAAACCTGATGAGCTTCTGACTGTTATATGTAAGAAAGTGAAAGTAAAATTGGTAGCAATTAATCAAAGCTGACACTGATGCAAACAGTAATGTTTGTTTTGGAAATGGGTTTGGAATAATTTTTGGCCCTCCTCTCCTGGTCATTGTGATTTACCCTCCAACAAATGAGAACTTGTTCTAGATAGTGGGCCTGATAATTGTATATTGGAGACACATGGCAATCATTTAGTATAATCATCTATTTACCTAAGGTTAATAACTTGCTATCTGCACCAGTAATACTCAGTGTGCACAGCAGCAAAGATATATTCTAGCTTATTAATTATCACACTACTAATCCAGATACTCTTATCTGTATACATGTGCTTTCTTACACAATTTCATAAAGATAGTTACAGTAGTTCTAAGGGACAGTTACTACTCCATTAATGCTTTTTTAATATTATAAAAGTTAATGTTAAAGTAACCCATACTAGGTCAAATAATGGGTTTGAAAAATAAGGAATGTTAGATTATATTTATAAATATGCAATCTCAAATTCAGGCTGTCAAATCACTGACAGGCTTTTATATTTTATGCAAAAATTGAACAAAGAAAATGGTTGTGCAGTACAGCTAACATCTTAAATGAAGATATCTGAAACTTCTTCCTATAATAGACATTGATAGATGATTGTGGTGTACAGGTTTCAGTAGCCAGCTCGTGATAGAACAATCTTAAAGCTGTCACCACACCAAGCCGCTTGCTGAGTCTGGTTTTTGTCCTCCCGCGTTTTTGATAAATAACGAAACAAAAAAACAGAGAAACGTGTTCCCACCTCCCCGAATATCTGAAATTCACGAGACGTGATCCCAAAGCTATGTTGACAGACATTCCTGGCATTGTGCTGATTTACTTTTATGTGATTAGATCAAAAACTTCTAAAAAATCATTTCCTGCCATTCACTGTAGGCATGCACATGGGTGAGAAGATCAATGCGTTAGTTATTAAAAACCAACAGATCTTAAATGCCTTGACATTGTCTAGATGTACAAATAGTCTTAATGATTTTTTTTCATAGAAAATCAAAATAAGAGAATTAAGCCATGAGGTAAAAATTCAAACTAACTACCTTTTGAATCTTATTTAGTGGAAGGTGTAATTTTTTTTTGGGGGGGGATACAGTCAAACCTCATTATCTGGAGCTCAATGAGACAAAGAAAATAGATTACGGGGTTGAAATTCATTATGGAAATTTGTTAAGACTTCACCTCATTTTAATATATGCATGGTGTTTGAGATATCAATGTTTGGGATAATGGGGTTCAACTGTAATTTATGTCCATTGTTTAGGCAATCTGAAGGTCAAGTTGTATTCTCTCAGTGACATGATCTGGTTGTCCCAAGTCATGACCCAGAAAGAAGTAGACTTTACTGTGATTTACAAGTTTTTTTTTTGTATTTTACAAATGTAATTGTCACACTGCATTGTACTTATAGAATCAAAATTTTTAATTTGATACAGGATTTACAACTAATAGGTTATCTGTATTGTTAATGCATCCTTTGCAGGTTGTAAGACTCTTTGTTTTGTAATATCATACAGAAGAAGTATTATTTAGCAGCTTTTTAAGTAGTTGCATTTAAGAAGATTAAATGATATTCTGCAAATTCCCACATTCTTTAGCATAAGAAGTTAAATGTTTGTGATAATGAATTTAAAAAAAAAGAACAGATTAGATTGCTGTTGTATAGATTTAGCAGGGGTAGAACCGCTCATTGCTTTTATTTTGGCAGGTAGAATGACTTGAAAATTGATAAATATGATTTTATCAGACGTGATATTGAATTCTTATGAGCAGTGAACAAAAACATAAGCCTGAAAAGAGAACACCTGTAAACTGAACAGAAACAAATACACAATAGCACTGCATTAAATGGCAGTGTTGATGAAATTAGTAGTTTAAAATTACCAAGTAATATTACTCTGTATTTATTTACAGTCTGTATTCAATTGTATATGCATGCATAATGCATTAATCTGAGAATCATCTGCGTGACCAAACAAAATATGAAGAAGATATAGACACTGTACCCTACCTCATTAATGCAGTTGCAAGAACGGCAGTTGATTTTAAATTCATCGATTTTAGTTCACATTAAGTGAGGTTTTTTTATACTGCTTATGTATGCAGATTATTATGGTTTTTACTACATTGAGGGGAAACAATTGGTAATGAAGCTGTAATCAATCTTAGAGTCAGTGTTCTGGTGAAAATTAATATACAGAAGAACATTTTAGCTCACGTTATGTAAAATTTAATAGGTTAATTTTCCTCAGCATTGCATGACTTATGTGAGTGTTAGAAAACAAAGAGATTTGACAAAAGAACAGGTGACAGAAATCAGCTGATTATAATGTCCCAGGTGGCCCTGCCAAGATAAGAGTCACAGATGAACAGATAAATAATGAAAGACAAACACACAAGATTTAATTTGTATAACGTAGGTATAAATATATCAGGTTAAAGGGGATCTTCATGTCAGTGATGCTTATAGTTACTGCCAAAATTGGTACATGTGGTTAATTTACTGTTTTTCTGCATGACATGTATGTATTAATTTTGTTGTTGGTACATATATGTATAGATATGTGTTTTATTGGCAAATGGTGCAGACAGGATGAAAATACATGTACTCTTTGGAATTTTTTTCATACTGTATGATAAGTCTACAATGTAGGTTCATGTATTTAAGAGTCAATAAATTGATTATCATGTAAAATTATTAGCAATCAATGAATCCTCTAAGTATACATAATATTTCATCTTTGTATGAAAATTTTCCCTTGATTCAATTAGTGGCACTAACAATATTTTTTCTTAGGATTTTTGTTTGGAATAGACACTCAATAGATGGGAAAGATTGATCTCAGTGGTTTATACACCACCAGGCCGAGTTTTTATCATATAAATGTTTGACAAACCATTGCTGTTTCTGTTAATTAATGACTGGTATTTTCCAAGTGGTATTCTGAGCAAAGGGAACAAACTCTTAGATGTGTTTAAATATGAATTGTGGTCCTTTAAATACCTTAGGTAGTGATGTGGACTTTTTTGTGAATGACGCAAGCAAATGTCTATAAAACTTTGGCCTATTCAAGGAGAAACTTCCACCTGAATAAACTAGAAAGGCACACTGGAGATACAATTATCAATTTATAGTTATTCATTTTTTAGGCTGACATAAGAAATCCATTGAAGTTTTATAGTGGGAGCAAGTTATTAGCATTGTAAAAAATAACATTGTTTGACAATGCCAAAATGTAAATACCAAGTAGATGCCATTGGTAAACTTTGCTTTGCCCGGGTCTTTTACAGCTATTTAAATTTATTTAATCTGGGCCAGAAATCAAGTTAGGGGGCTAGCTACAGGTATGGTACTCATTATCAAAAGCTGAAAATTTATTTTAATGACAGCTTTCAGATCAAAGATTCTTTGAAAGTGGATTTATTATCATTTTAAAGGCTATTTTATAGGTATTCTCATGGTGGGATGCAACTTTAGACAAGAACTGTATCAACATGATCATATATACTTACATGTGAAACTGTATAGGTGCCCAGTAATTTATTCTTGAGCAACAATATTTGTAATATTTAGACCTTGTTGATTTAAGATTTGAAGGCCTAAATTAAAGTTCGTACAATGTAAATTTCTCACTGAAAGCCACGGATAAGTATAGAAATCTCTCCAGGTAGGAAGAGATAAAACGTAAAGTTCCGATGATAAGTGGGCTGTCGCTGGAGTTATGTGTAGTCTATATTTTGACTGTGCTGTTTCTATCATATGGGGGATTTCTAATTGCTGATGAAAGCTGTAATGGATTTTTATGATTCATGTAAAGGTGTTTTTGCCAGAGTTTGGATTAGTATACAAAAGTGTTAATGTGTTACTTGGTCGTTAGGTCTGAATTATTAAGAGAGGTAAAAAGGTAAGGGCTGAAAGAAATACAGCAAATATTTATACTTCTGACTAGTAAATGAGCTTTTTAGTTCATATGTTAATTTTTATGTAAATTATAAGTTCTTATCTTGGACTTGCTGAGATGTAGATGTGAAGTGAAATTTTTTCTGAAGGAAATATTTTTTACATAAAAATTTTAGTGAGGTGATTTCTTTTGTGTGTTGCCCTGTCAGAAAATCTTGTGTGGTATAAATGACAGATATATTAAATGTAAGCCGGATATTTGAACATGTTTACAGGTAAAGCTAACATAATCAGTCTGTGTTTCTCGGGAATGACCCCGTCATACTCTGAGTAAAACAATCACCTTCAAATCTGTTTGATGTAGGGGAACAACTTACATGCAGTTGTAGAAAGAAAATGACGATGGTTTTGTTGTCCGATGGAATTTATGGCACATAATCATACCCATTGACAAAAATGTATGCTTCGTTCATTCATGATTGAGTTTTGTCGAGAGGCCAGCCAAAGGTTTTCAATCTTCGGAACAGACCAACTGTGTCGTAGTGGATTTTCTCTACTCCTGTACTCCTGTTGTCTGATTATATACTATTTACACTGTGGAAAAATCTGTGAATAAGAACTATTTTTGTGCCTTTGAATGTGAATATGTGATTTTATATTTTTTGACTTGAACCTTTTTTTCACCTGTTAAAGGTATGTTGACATTGAGTGTAATACACTCTTGGCATGCATGTGTAATTTTGACATTACTGAAACATAGGTGAAATGTTCAGGAAAAATCATGACAAAGCTTCATAATACTAATTTCATCAGATTTTTAATTAGGACAATGGAATGCTTACTTTGATAAGAATCAGGGATATGCCTGACCTTGGGGCAGGTTTAAACCTGTGAGGGTATTGATCCTACACAAATTGAGGGTTTCTGTCACAGATTTCCTTTGTCATCCTCCATCTATCATTAAAACACCCATTAATAAGACTAACTCCATTAGTTCCCCATGGCTAGTCCCTCGTACACTCCTAAGACTAAAGTCATTATATAAACTTTAAATATTCTTTGTGAATGACTGAGCAGGAGTCAGTCACACTGGTTGGTTTTTTGGGGGAGTTTTTGTGTTCGTTCATTGTGTTTAATCTCTTCTGAAAATCTTATTAAGATAATACTGAAAATAAAAACAAAAGAAGAGGGCTGGCCTTGCATTGTTATTGCGATTAGTTCAGATTAAAGAGAGACTTCCGTTAATCTGAGCACCAATGATTATTCCACACCTTGCTAATGGCAAGTTATTAGTCCTGATAAGGCTAAAGGATTAACTATGTACTGATCAGCTGAAACAGCAAAATGTACAGTGATTCAACTAAATGACTTGAGGGTACAAAGACCTCTGATCAGAGCTAGAGTGGGTAGGAAGTTGTGTGGTTTATTTTGTATCAGTAAGAAGAGTTTTTCGTAAAATAGTGGCAGGTACTTGCAATTTTTTACTAGCAGTACATAATTTATGATACTGAACAAATGTAGCAGTTCAATGCAGCAATAGTTTGAAGTATTTCACAGAGCAGAAGGAAAATTATTTTGATTTCCTTTGGAAAAATGTTTCTAAATCTGAAATCAGATTTTTATTGAAATGTTTACTACATGTATTAATCACTAATTATATTTATTTTGATTTTCATCATTATTTAAAATCTTTAATTTTGTATTAACATGCCTTTATAATACTTTTATATATAATTCCATTCCTGATTCTTTCCTGATAAATGTTGCTGTGAATTCATTTCAAGTCAACTTGGAGGGGAAACAAGTTCATTTAATCAATTTAAAAGAAAAGGGAAAAAATCTGGTTCAGCTTATGCAGTGACACAAGACTGCTTGCATCCTTGGTTAATTAACTGTATAAGATAAACATGTCCCCTCTCTATCTTCCTCTGTCAGTGGCTAATTCCTGCCTTGATGGGCTGCCAGAGCTTGATACAGTTAGATTAGGGCTAGTCTGTGTCACTCTTTGTGGTTTTAGAAGTATTGAAGCTCTGGGCGTGGGATTAATGTGCAGCAAATATTGCACAGGCTGATTAGCTGTTGAGTGGGCAGGAATCTTGTATGTTATTGAACCATAAATTTACTTTTTAGATGCTCTGTGTCTTGTTTTCTTGTGCTTGTTTTCTGTGATTAATAAATTAAAAAGCTTCAAAATATGCTGTAATTCTTCATATGCAAATAGATTTTTTTTTTAGTGAAAGATAGTCAAGAAATGATAAAAAAGTAAACTAAAATTTCTCCCAGAAATATTTTTTTTTGTTTATAACTGTCAAGAGATAACAAGATTTGCAATACACTAATTAACTGTCTGTTCTGATAAACAAGAACATGTTGGTAACATTACAACATAAAAACATAAAAAGAAAACCATGCCAGAGTTAACTGAATTATTAGTTCCTTTGTTTAATTACTCCAAACATCTGTTTTTATTCACAACCCCTTGCCAATATTGTTACCACCATTATTTAAGAGTTCAGATTTGTTGTAAAACAACATTTAGTTTATGTTTTGTCTTGTTTTCTTCCCAAGGCTAGGAACAAGTGGTTCACTTTAGTAGATGAAGAGGAAAGAACAACTTGAACAATTATAAGAATTGAAATTGAGACTTAGAACATTTGAAGAGCCAATGACAAGTGTGTTCACTGAGGGTGAAAAGTCCTCCTATCTGTGTTGTATTCAGTTACTAGTGCTACAGTGCAAAAGGAAAACGGGGAAAAAATTTTGTTTTGTTTTTTGTGTGTGTATGTGTATACCCTTCACAGCGTGTTCAGTCTTGCATACTTATAAGTTTAGGGTACAATATTATCTAGAAGTTCTTACAGTAAGGAAAAAGGACACAAGGTGTGTCGTGGAATGAAGAAGGACGCTCAGACAGAGTTGTATATGCGTGGTTTTTATATTTTCAGACGTTGACATTTTGCGTGACCTGACTATGGATGAACCAGTCTCGGACTGCTGTCCTCTGTGTCACATGCCCTTTGACAAAGGGAAGAAGCGCCGGCTGATTGACACCTGCGGACACGCCAAATGTTACAGCTGCATGTTTACCTATGATACCTGTCGAATCTGTGAAAACAGTGAGTACAACATTAAACTAGAATATTCAGGTGTTTTATATAACTTACCATTAATTTAACCTGTTCCTGAGAATCAACATCAGTCCAACAGCTGTAATAGTTTAAAAAATTCAAAAAGTATTCATACAGCTGTAAAGTTGTTGAAGTATAAAGAGGTGTTCAAACTTAAGTAAATTAAGTGATTCTTACTGTATTTCTGCACCATATATATGGTAAAATATAATATTTGTTAACCAAAAATTTAATTATAATAGATTTCATCTCATCAAAAAAGTTTTGTCTAATAAATTGCCGGTTTAGGCACCCTCTCTGGTAAATGAGGAAAATTATGGATATCGAAATGTACATTATGAAAATACTTGGTCAAAACCTCACACATCAGTAAACTTTGCCTACTCTGAAAATTTTGTAAAATTTTTATAGATCCAACAGGGGCAGGTCATCACATCAGACAGAGCAGTGATATTTCTCCATACAGTCATCGCCCCAGGATGAAGACCAATGGACACTTCACCCCTCAGATGAGGACCGAGATTTCCACCCAAACCACGCCCTCCAAATCTACCCCCACTTCATTGTCCCTATCAAACGTGTATCAGGGTAAGTCACCAACTGTAAGCAAACTTATAAAATTCTAATGAAATGGGGAATCTAACTACCATTAAAAGTATATTAGTACTTGTGCCACGCCCCTTTCAACTCTGCATTAAAGTCGAAATTTTCCAAACACTTGACATTTTATAGTGACATATGAGAGTCTCTATATTTACTTCAATTTGTTTATGAAGATGTTTTTGTGTTTGAGCACATAAGTGTTGACCTTTGAGATTCTTGTTGCATTTTTCACAATTATATAGTCACATGTATGAGATTGTCTGAAAACAAACATCTTAAGATCTTGAGCTTTGTGCAGGGACCTATATATACATAATATACTATGATGATAGGCAACTCTAGCTGGTTATAAGATTTTTTTTGTCATTTTAAATTCTTATTTTGAACTCCTTCTTGGGTCAAAATTATTTCAACAGACACCAAAATAAACATATATTTAGCGAGTGTGATTCTGTCAAGCCGTGACCTTGGGACTGAGATAAGGGATTGATCTGGTTACTGATAGTGAAGGTCTGCCCCCCACTAGGCACTTAATGCTAGGTTAGCCCCCCAGACCTGGGTCCTGGATGACAGTAATATAGATGAGTTTGTATGGAGAGACAGTAAAAGCAGTCATTTCCATAGAAATGAGAAAACATGACAAAGCATCTGTTCTTGATAAAACCTTCTTTGTAATGGCATGGCACATGCTTGCCAAGATGGTTATTGATTACAAACTAAACACAAAAAAAATCTTTCTTTTTTTATTCAAAAAAAAAAAAATCAATACTTCAAAAAAAGTGGCAACAAGATTTAGGGGAGAGCTAGGTTTAAAATTTAATGAAATTGGACTGCTTGTGGATGAACTGCCGGAGGCTATGGGAGTCTTTGGAATTGATGGCCTTTGTCACTTCTGATGCACATCATTGCCAAATGTTCTCAGTTTATGTTCCAAAGACAGACTCAGTGCCATGATCAGTCACACGAGGCATTGATTTCTTCAAGTGTGTCTTTTCTTAGGAGAAAAGTGTTTTCTAATGCAATTTGTATTTTTCCTAACAAGGGATTGTGCTGTGAGTGTTCTTTTGGCAATACTTGTTACGGGAGATCCAGTAGCCCTATAGATGCAGACTTGACAAGCACGTGCTTGGTAGATACATTAATGAAATGTGTGGATTTTTCATCAGTGTATTGATAAGCTTTCTGTGTTAATTTATTTTTTTTTACAAAAAACGATGAGTAAGTATTGTTACGAATCTCCCTGTGTTTCGGTAGCCTTGAGAAGTCAGTGACTCTTGCTATAGATTTGTGACTTTTGAAGGCTAAAAAAACTATTCAATGGAGAAAACTAATCACATGATGGATTGTGTAGGAGAGGAAACCATGGGATCAAAGGTGTCTTCATCTGTATCTAATGAGAAAGGTAATCACCCATATAATGTGAGCAAGTTTTGGGGTTACTTTTTTTTAATGGATCTTATACGGTTCATTCATGACTTGAGTACATGTGTATTATAGAAACTTAAGTATATTGCTTGATCTATTTAATAGGATAGGAAGCAAAATAAACTGTACAATTTTTGGTAGATTTTGTTTTTCAATGTAAAAAATATAGTAATTGCTTCAAAATGTAGGTTCAGTTTGCACAGTTGGGGCTTGAATTGACATGCAGGTTTTGTAATTGTTCATCACCGAGAATCTCATTCATACCAGATGTGTAATAGACAGGAACTTTTCCAAAGCTCAACTATCTGTTAGATACAATTTTTGCTGCAAATACATGCTTGATCATGATAATGTTTTAATTGCCAAGTTTTAGACTACTTTTTTTATTAGGTGAATTGCACATATGAAGCATACAGTAGTGCACACTTGATAAATGAAGCATTTTAATTGTAGATAACACAGAAAAAAGGCAACTTAATGCAGCTCAAAATTTATGGTACACCTAAGTAATTTCCTCATCAGCTATTCCTGATTATTTTTTTTATTGCAGCTGGAAAACAGATACCTGAGCCACAAGTTCCTGCATCCAAACCAAGATTCTTCCAACCTATATCCCTGTCTCCAACCGGCCCCAACCCACCACCATCTGTACCTTCATCACAGAAGAGTTACAGTGATTCTAGAAACTTCCTGTCAGATTCAGCAGCCATTGGTCCCTCAGACTCCAGTGCAGACCCTAGTCTAACGCCTTACGATGACCTTGATGAGTTGTCAAGGTTAGATAGGGAAGGACCTGCCCTGGATTTAAATGATCATCTAGGTAAGAAATTTTTTTTCCTTTTTAGAATTTTTCAAATGCATATACAGAGTGGTTCAGAGAAAACTATTTGTAAGTAAATTAAATAATTGCAAATAAACTGCTTTAATGAAGACTTGATTTTCTACAGAACCCCCTCCTCCCTCACCAGATGTAGCACAGAATGACCTCATGGTCAGACTGGGTCTGTTACTCTCAGATAAAGGTCGGGCCACCAATGAACCAGGTCAGATGTCACCTATGTTGCCTCGTAAAGGTCCCCAGGGACATCATGTGACAGAGGAAACATTTACCAGCGTGTCCTCTCTAGGCAGTAACGAGGCGACCCCAGAGAGGAGAATCTCCACCCCAGACAGGGGGATCTCTGACACCAGCCCGCTGTCAACTCTCACTGGTAAGCAGCAACTAGTCACTTAAAACATTGTCAAATGAGTATAATTTTTGATGATGATAATTTCTATATGGTGTATTTGTTAATGTGTACGATAACTAAATGATAAATGTGTTCGGAATTTCAGCTTCCTCGGGCAGTGAGAGGGGTCACTATGCCGGGATAAGGATGGGGACTGAATCTCTGTTTACAAGCAGGGATCCCAGTGCAGAGAGTATGCACTCATTCATGTCCACTAGTACCGGGAACAGTATGAGCCCCCACACCACAACACAACGGCCTCACTCCATCACAAGTAAGGAAGGCATACAAAAGTCTAAGGAAGTCATTCTAAACCTCTAATTGGTATGATCAAAGCTTTTCTGATTGAAATAGTTATTGAAAAATAAGTAAAACGGGTACAAGAGAAAGGAAAAACATGATATAAACACCATAATCCATTACTTTCATTTATTCACTTTGTAGCCTCAACACCAGGACAGATAGAGGATTTGTTTAGTAAGAGAGGTAACTTCCGCCGGTCCTCGGCTCGCGCTACAATAGGTCACTCCAGTGAACGTCGAATCAACATTACACCAATCAAACCACCACAGATCAGGCTCAGAGCCATGCCTTTTGAGATCCCCCATAACGAGGGGAAAGCTTTGTTTGTGGGGAGGGAATGGCTGTTTAAGGACATAGAAATGGTAATGTTTTTTTTTTTACACACTATAGAACATGTATGAAATATGACATTAAACTTACCAGTAATAAAAGTCTGACATGTTAAATATCCCTTCCCTCCTTTTTATGAAAAACAGCATACAAGACAAGAACAGTTGCGATTGTTGACTTTTTGACTGTGACATTGTGGATTCATTGTAACTTTTTTTTCGTTGTAATTTCAGGCCCTGAACAGTGAGCCCACCACAGACAGGGTGAGAGGTGTGGTCTTGACAGGGGGTATAGGTGCAGGAAAAACAGCCATTATAGAACAGCTAGTGGACTGTAGTGTGTTTACTGATGGCAGGAGTGGACTTGTAGAAGGTCATTATAATAATCAGCAAGAGATTGAAAAGAAAGGAAATATAAATTATTTTGTACCATATCATTATACCATCACTGAGAAAATATGCTAATGCTATGTTTTATTGAAGGTTAATTTTCAGAATCTGTATTTCCAGGAAGTGAACACAAAATAAACCGAGATAAAATGGTGTACAATGGTCTGACAAATTACAGTCCGAAATCTACCCTGACTCATGGCCTTAGTGCCTCCTCCTCAGACCTTACGTACGACTGTCTCAGAAGTCTTGGGTCCCAGGTGGTGGCCTTCCACTTCTGTCAGGCAGACAACAACATCACCTGTCTGGTGCCGGAGTTTGTCCACAGTCTGGCGGCGCGGCTAACACAGGCACCACAACTCTCTGCCTACCACGAGCTGCTACTACAAGATCCACAGCTCCAACACATACTCAGTCTGAAGGAGTGTGTACAGAACCCATCCAGTGCTTTCATTAAAGGAATCCTTGATCCTCTAGAGTTGTTAAAAGAGAATGGCAAAATAACCTCAGACAGTTGTTTGATTGTGATAGACTCATTGAATGAGGCCGAGTTTCATAAGCCTGATTATGGAGACACTATAGCCTCGTTCTTATGTCGACATGTAGACCAGTTCCCTCCGTGGCTGAAGTTAGTTTTAACTGTGCATTCTTCATTGGTAGATATCACCAAAGACCTTTGTTTTACCACTGTTTGTATTGACCGCGACCAAACCAATGACCTTATAGGCAAAGACCTTATAGATTATGTGAACCATAGGATAGAAACCAGCCCCAGTATTGTGAACAATATTTCTCTGAATGGTAAATTAGACCAGTCTACACAAGTCAAGTTCTGTCATCATCTACAGACACTGAGCAAGGGCTCCTTCCTGTTCTGTAAGATGACCCTTGACCTGATAGAGCGAGGACACCTGGTGCTTAAAAGTTCAAACTATAGGATTTTACCCATGAACATCTCGGAAGTGTTCCTATTACATTTCAACTTGAAATTCCAAAGTGTGAGATCCTTTGAGAAAGTTTCTCCCATTTTGGCTGTGTGTTTGTCCACTCTGTACCCCATGAACTTGGAGGAGATTTATGACACAATAAACTCGGGTTACACCGAGCACTTCCTGCCCTGGGAGGAGTTCACCCAGAGAATGAGCATGCTCCAGGGATTCTTATTTCTCCGTAAAGACTCCACCTACATGTTTTTCCACCCTGCCTTCAGGGAGTGGCTAATTCGTCGTGACGAAGTGGATAATCCGAAATTTCTCTGTGATCTTCGGTGAGATTTTAATTTCACTTTCTTTTTTATATCTCATTCATATTTTCTTTTCGAAATATTTTTTTTCTGCTGACACACAAAATAGAAAAAGAGCATGTTACCTTATCAAGTTAATATTTTTTTTCATCACATTAATAACGGAATTTATTTCCCACTCACACATCTGCTGTTGTTATATTTGGTAAAACATAAAACCACCTTACTCCTGACCTTATGTACGCTTCAGTTATTATATTTACAACTTCCACCCCATGGCTGTGTTGTTATCTATCTTAATGCTGTTATATGAAATACTACATGTGTTTATACTAATATATGATGCTGTTGTAATCTGATTGGTCCTGTTTTTGTTTTTGATTCCTCCAGTGGTGCGGAATTTGACCCAAGGTGAACACATAGCTATATACATGTATATCTACGTTTTTGGGTTCTTTCCTTTCATTTGTGGTTACCATGGATACTAAACTGGCTACGCAATTAATTTGAAACTTTTACTAGTACTTTGAATTGATTTTGTAGTCAGTCTTTTTTGATTTATTATTTGCTAAAATCTGCTGAATATAATGACCACTAAACTGCATGATACCAGCCTTATTCATAGATGTCTGCATTTTACCCAGAATGCACTTTTCCCTTTGTTGATTCTGTTTGCTTAATGGTTTCATTTCATCACATTCATCATTATGTCACGAATTACATTTATATATTTATATATCAGTACATGTGTACGTAAACATTAGTTCAACAAATCACAACATGTACTACCTTATATATTTTGCACAAAGTAACAAATGTACATAAAAAAGTTAATGATTGTGTAATGAAGAGATTAATGGAGTCGACGTTGTGATTTCTTGCCTAATCATATACAGCATTGCTGCTGTAGGATGTTGTATTTCTTCATAGTGTGAATCTGCAGACTAGATTTCCTCAATGCTATTGTGCTTGCTTCACAAACAGAGAAAAGAGAAAAAACTTTCAAAGGAGTATCAGATATACAGATGGAAAACAAAGATTTTTAACACTGTCAGATTCAAATGTTGTAATTTAGAGTGGTGTACATGTTTATAGATTTAAATTATGTATCAAAAATAAATTTATTTTGCTGGTATAGAGGTAGACTTCATAGATGGATTCTGGGACTATAGAAGAGCATAAACTATTTTCAATTATGAAATTTTTTTTAAGTTGCTTAAATTATGAGATTTTTATAATTTTCACATCTCGTTCATGTTATAAATATACATTTAATTGTTTGAATTAAAGTGTATACATATTTTAATTTCAGACATGGCCATGCTCTGGTATCTTTCAAGTTGTCTAGGATTATGGCACCACTCAATGCAGACAAGACGATAGAGCTAGGGCACCACATTTTGAAGGCCCACATCTACAAAACGGTCAGTAAGCAGCGTGGCTACTCCTCGCGGGACATGCAGGCCTATTGGATGGCTCTCAGTTCCGAGAGTCTCAATGCTGCCCTGGCGTCACATCGGAACCTCTTCTCTCCAAATGTCAAGGTTAGTGCTTATTATCAGGGACAGTCAATAAACAGTACTTTTAATACAGGTTATTACCTTTAATTATCCATTGGGAGTAAGAAAAATAGTCAAGTGTTTGTAAATATAGACCAAAAATTTGTAAACTGCTAGATATTTTCAGTGTACTTGTAAATTACAAGGCAATTATTTTATTTGAATTTGTAAAAGACAAGTTTACTGTTTGCTGTAGGTGAGTAGGTTGATCCTGCTGTCTGGGGCTAACCCTAACACCCGGACCCCCTACCAGAACAACTCCCCTATCTTGTGTGTGGCAGCTAAGGAGGGCTTCACAGACATGGTCGCCCTCCTCCTGGAATTCAGCGCCAGTGTGGACGCCGTGTCAGACAGCGGTATGTCAGCGCTGTGTTACGCCGCCAGCGCTGGACACGCGGAAATCCTACGGATGCTGTGTCAGAGGAATGCAAGGGTAAGGAGACACTAAATAATGAGAACTACTGTAAATCACTTTTTATTTGCGAGAACTTTATTTTCGCGTAATTACGCGAGACATGGGTTCTCGCATATAAAAGTATTCCTTCTGATTATATAGAGGAATAACAACTATTCGTGAAAATTATGTCTCGCTTACAAAGAGTCAGTGACAATCTCACGAAAATATGGTGTCGCGAAAAATTAGTGGTCTACAGTATTAAGGATGGCTGGATAACAGGATTATTCAATTTTAACATCAGTGATGGTCATTACAGTGTTTTAATAAATGTCACTAAAGATTTGAATCCTATATATTTCATTGAAAATAAACAGAGTTATATCAAAAATCATGAAAAAATTAATTATTTGCTGGTCACTAAAGTAACATGTATACAATATTTGTTTATACTGCCAATAGAGAACAACTTGAATATCTTATACAGTGCATGATTACTTGTGTTATAAAGCATCAACAGCTGATGTATTTTACAAGTTTTTCCTTTTTGTAGCTGTCTCATGTGGATAAGAATGGTCAGTGTCCGGCGGTCCATGCTGCCATGCACGGTCACCTGGACGCCCTTATCTATCTCCTGCAATGTGATTGGTCAGAGTACGACGGTCAGCTGACTAAAGTGGAAGCCATGCAGCAAGCTATGGTGGCATCAGCAGCCACTGGACACACCAATGTAAGGGTCTTGTTGTGTTAAATCTCAAGTAATTGTTAAATCTACTGGGTTCTTGAATAGAAGTAATATTGTAAAACAGTTGTGTTTTTGTACTGATCTCTAATGTGATCTTTCAGATAATTGACTTCCTGCTACATAACTACTCTGCTACTGCTGATGGATTTGGAATTAACTACTGTGATACTTTACTCGGTGAAACAGGTAGGAAACAGGTCCAAATAATCAGAAGAATTTAGAAATTAGGCTTCTTAAAAAATACCTATAAGAAAGTGTACAGAAACTGAAGAAAATTTCTACTAGTCAGTTGTATACAAAGAAATTTAATCTATCCATGGTATTGTAGCCTTGACTGCAGCCTGTGGACATGGCCACAAAGACGTGGTTTTGTTCCTCATAGATCAGGGGGCGAGTCTTCATCAGCCAAACAACAAAACTCTGACCCCCCTTCTGTGTGCTGTGGACGCCGGTCACTGGGATGTGGCTGACCTACTTCTAGGAATGGGATCCTCCTTAGAACAGACAGACAAACATGGTAGAACACCTCTGATGATTGCAGCCTACAAAGGTCATATTGGTGTGCTGGAGATGCTGCTAGCTAGAGGTATGATTTATTACCTATAATTCTTATAATACAACCACTGCCTTGCCATGAGGACCAATTTAATTAAAAATTTATATAGTCAAAATGCAAGCAATAAAGTTAAGAATTTTTTTTGTTTAACTGAATTTCAATGCACATTGACATTTTCTTTGATTTCAGGGAGTTCCTTACATCAGGTGGATAAGGAGGGACTGACTGCCCTCTGCTGGGCCTGTCTGAAGGGGCACCATCATATTATACAGACCCTCCTAGACAAGGGAGCTAACCTTCATCATGTGGACAGAAGGGGGAGAACTCCTCTCCAACTAGCAGCATTCCATGGAGATGCACAAGTAGTAAGTGTATATGTAAACCTAGATATTATTATAAAGTGTAGAAAAATTGTTAGACTCCTCCTTATGAAAATCTGCTTTTAAAAACTGCTTTAAAGTAAATGCTAACTGAATTTAAGGTACAAGCTCTGATAGAGAGAGGAGGACAAATAGAGCATGCTGACCAGAATGGAATGCGAGCGCTGGACCGAGCCATCGACAGGAGGAACACTGCGGTGGTGGTGTGCTTTCTGAAGAAGGGGGCTAAGCTGGGTCAGACCACGTGGGCGGTGGCAGCAGGGAAACCTGACGTTCTGTTACTGCTGCTGAATAAACTGATGGAGGACGGCAATGTATTGTATAAGGTAGGGGATGTTACTGTAACTAATCGTACATTACAAAATTAGGCTTTTTCTATGTGGAATATTTTGGATACACAATAGTGATAGATGTTTGTTAACTTATATATATTTTTCTTTCAATCTATTGATATATTTAGCAGCACAGCTTTGGAATTTCCAGATGTTTTTTTCTGTTTAGCACATTTGATATGAAACTGCATGTTAGTTTATGTAATGCTAAAATTAATTATCTTCATTTGTAAATACAGAAAAATCGTATCCGGGAGGCTGCACAGAGATATCAGTATGCCCTAAAGAAATTCCCTGAGGACAAAATAGTGGAGGACTCACGCACCTTCAAAGATCTGAAGCTGAATCTGCTGCTTAACCTCTCCAGATGTAAACGCAAACTCAATGTAAGTGTCCACTTTTGGTAACTTGTTTACAATTCAGATCTGTTTACAGAGGATTGCGTTCAGAACTCACCTGTTTACTTTGTATCTGTTTTGTTTTTCAGGAATGTCAGTCAGCCATAGAACTGGCCACACAGGCACTGCAGATCAAAAGTAAATGTTTTGAGGCTTACTACGCTAGAGCTCGAGCCAAGAGAGATGACAGGTAGGAATTTAAATCTCTGTTCCCTTAACATTGTAACTAGATGCTTCCGTTCCAAAGTTTCGCTAAGTGTATTAACTATCAACATTTTAATTTGTTTATCTTAACCACACTGCATAGATATTGTATAATATAAAGGAGAAAGTAAAGGAAGAGTTGTCTTTCTTTTGCAGACAGTTTTCATCTGCAGTGGAGGATCTAAAGGAGGCGTTGAAGTTAGCTCCAAATAATCGCGAGCTTCAGAGACTGCTCACAAGAGTACGAGATGAGTGTACTGAGCAGGCTCGTTATGAGAACACTCATGGAAGTCGATCCAGCCTAGATCAGGGCGAGAGGCGAGCGGAGGAAACCGCTCTATAGCAGGTCATCACTGGGAGGTCAACTATTTGTCAGGACAAACAACATTCATTTGAGTCAAGAAATAATACTGGAATTGTAGCTTTAAACTATTTTAATTTGAATATGTGGCAAACAAGTCAATTTATCATTTGTTAATATAAGCCTTTTTGATTTTATGAGTATAGGGATGTTTAAAAATTATGTTAGATCTCAGTTTTATGAACACAAAAGGTAGATTTGTGCTAATGTTTTAGTTTGTGGCAGATTGGTGCTAGAGGCAGAGCATAAGGTGGTCTGATTGTAACTGGCCTGTCTTCATTGTGGAGTGCTGATTTGTTCTAACATTTTAATGTGCTTTTGTTAAAAATATGTTTTTGTTGTGTAAGAAAGAAATGGCATCAGTTTGTTTAAATATGGGCTTTTTTATCCTTAAACTTCTTTTTCAACATTTTCTTGTGTACATGTAATACTTTCATTGAATGATGGATGAAAGTTTTTGCAGAGTTTTGAGATGAATTAGAGAGCTTTCAAAGGAGACAATTCTTTGTGTATGGTTGTAATGGTCAAGAAAGAGTTCCAGGGTTCAACTAGAAGGAAACATTCCATAGGTTTCCATGGTCGTTTATTTTCATTATTGAATTCACTTAAATTCATTGATGTTATGAATATTTAAACAAAAGTGTAAATACTGTATATATTTGGAGTGCTGTAATGAACACATTGTAGCATTTATTATTTAAGTCTCTTTTTTTATCATTTCTTTGCCATGAACAAGTGCAATTAATTATAGTAAATGTCAACAAAATTGTTGTCATTTTTTTTATCAATAATAAAACAAAGAAATCCTTGTCGTTTATATTTTTTCTGTAGATTATTTGCAAAATTTGCATGTTGATATTGATAGAAGGTAATCAAAATTACAATCATG